TAATCCTATGACATAGACTTAACATGGGTAATGCTAATCCTATGGAGCTTTTTCCATAGACTTAACATGGGCTAATGTTATCCTATGGGTAATGTTAATCCTATGGGAGACTATTTTTCTATGAGAAAGCGAAATATGAAGGGAAAGGGTAGTTTTTCTCCATGTTAATCCTATGGGACTAATGATAAGTCTATGGCAGAATGCTTTAACATGAGTTTCTATAGGATTACAGCTTATCTCTATGACATAGACTTAACATGGGCAATACTATTTTTATGAGACTAATGCTTAATCTATAGCAATGTTACGTCTAAGGCAATGATAAGTCTATAAGATAGGATTAACACGGGCAATGCTAAGTCTATGGCAATGATAAGTCTATGTACTTATGTTAAGTTTGTAAGATAATACTTATTCTATGGACATATATTAAACAAATCTTACAAATTAATCAAATAAATTGTTGTCAAAAATATTTAAAATGTTCAAAATAACAGTAGTGAAAGTATTCCAACAATAGCATTGAAAATTTTACATCTTTAATGCATTTCCCGAATTGTGGTTAACGTATAGCATCGCTGTGTGGACCTTGTTTCTATAATAAAAGGCTTTAGTAAATGTTTCTATAATATAGTGATCATATCATAACAAAAACTCCCGCAATTGACGATTATTTTGAGATATATTATTTAAATTATTATTATATTAGATATAATTTAGATTATTTAAATTTTTAAGTCGAATACTTTTATTTATTATATTTGAGTTTGCGTTTGTTTAGTACATTAATCTCCACCCTGTATGTCGATCGGTGTAAATTAATTTCTACCGTTCGATATTTCATATAAATTATTAAACCATCAATTCAGATAATAGGCATTTATTATTAAACTTACCTAGATTAATGTTATCCTCTATTCACTTGATAATTATGAATGAAAATCCGCTATAATTATTATCTAATAGTTATTATATTGAAAGATATAAGCATGTTGCGCTATCTTATTGTTTTATAAATGTATATATTATTGTGATTTTCACACTTTTTGTTATAAATTCTATTTTCACAGTTCGATATTCTATATAAACTATTAATCCGTCGATTTAGATAAGGGAAAGTTATTAACGCACTAAATGTTAGTATCACTTCTACTAGATAATTATGCCTTATAATTTGTAATAGTTTTATTGTAGTGTTATTTGATTGACTCCACCATAACAAAATCAATTAACTTAAACTAAACAAAATTTTGCAATTTTTTCATAGATATAATATAAAATTCCAATTTATTTTTAAAAAAAATTCTGTAATTTTTATGATCCTAAAGAAATAAATTTCTCATTAGATAAACGAGAAGCTGAATCTGAAAAGTGAGAAAACTAAAATTATGGCTAATGCTTTTTCAATGGAGTATGAATAACCAAAATGTGAAGTCATTATGAATTTGCCTTCACTTACAACCACTTGAATATTGAATTGTGAATAAGATTTACTATTTGTTATGAAATACACTTAAGATTATAAATAAATGCTAACAAATATATTGTTGTGTCAGAAGAATATTCTTTATAAAAATCCCAGAATTACAGTCGTCTTAATATATTATCTTAAAATATAAGTTAATCTTAAACTTAAGTTATCATAAAAGATGATTTAAAAGATAACATAAAATAAAAATAATAAATTATAAAATATAATTTAAACTTAAAAATCATGTGCAAAAATAATTATTTTTTAATTAAATTAATAATGCTAATACATTTTGCTAATAATATCCAATCAATTGCATTTAGCAGTAAATTTTATTTAGGTTAACAATCATCAAAATTATTTGGTTGGTAGAGACCATAAATTTGGTTACTACAGGTCATTGTCTGCTCATTGCGGGTCCGATTCAAACCACTGTTAACCAGCCAATAGTTCTCACATGAATGACAGTCCAGTATAACGTCAACACTATTTTGGTAACGACTCAAAAAGTCCTTAAATGTATATTCGCTCAAAAACGTGATGGAGTTGTTGTAAAGGCTTATTGTATTGTTATATCGATTGCCTAAATGCGCCAAAAGGTCCGGCCGTTCCCACAGAGAATCAACTGTTAATTGATTGTAGTCTAAATTTAAGTGAAATCTATTATCAAGATTCGGGATGCCAATTAGATCTAGATCAAACGCCGTGTCTCCTATTTTAGTGATTAAATTGTGATCGAGGTTTAAATGTTCTAGCTGGGGCAAGAACTGAAACGCGTGGCTCTCCACCCGTTCCACTTTGCCCTTCCTTATGGACAGTTCGCGCAGTTTTGGTAGGTATCGAAAGGCGCCCGAAGGCACTGAATAGAGACCCGTATTCTCTATGCGCACGATCTCCACGTTTTTCAACGAGTTTATCGCGTGAAACACGTTATGTCCGCCGCCGTTGTGTACGATTACGGGTGTATCGCGTATTTCCAGTCTCTGGTATTTACATAAATATCATTAATAACTCAGTTATTGATTATTGTATTTATAATAACACACATAACGTAAACGCAATTATAATTATCACACAAAACATACAATTGAAAAATACCTGTACGTCGTGTTCTGTGCCCCGGAAGGCGTTACTGTGTATATCATGTAATTTAGGCGAATCCTCTATAACAATATTCTGGAAATGTATTTTACCAAACACATTTTCCGGCAATTGTGTGACATTTGGCGACACTATAGTGACCATGGTAAAATTGTTTAGTCCGCTTTCGGTGGAGGCATAACTCATTTTGGCAAACGCCTCTACCAGACTAGTGTCGGTCACATCGGGTCCATTGCAGAATATGGTGTTGGATCCATCTGCACAAAAGCATGGTAAAACATCATCATCAGAGGGACATTTGTAACCCAATACCAGACCATTGTGTACAATAAGTACTAAAAAAAAATTTGAAAAAATTTTATGTTAATATTGACTTCTGTTGGATATCTTTATAGCATATTTAATTATTAATAAAAATTTATTTTATATAACTTTTGTATAGGTTTATTTGTTAATTTAATTATAACTTACCTAATAATGGCAGTATTGACTTCATGGCACAATTAGTTTTTCAGCTAATGTGTTATAATATTCAATAAGAATCAATTTATTAGTTGTTTGTCAATGAAAATGATTGGTATTTATATACTAATTAATTTATGATTGCCTAATAGTAACTCAAATTTTGTCAAAACCTTTAATTAATCCGTAATAATCCCATTGATTGCAAATACACACAAACTTTATATGATATATATATTGGTTGCGCTATAATCCCATATATCACAAAACGTTAAAACTTTTGAATTCCCTTATAATTCCAAGAAAAATTATTATTATTAAAGAATGTATCAATGCTTTTATAATGATCATTAACATTAAGTATTTTATACACTTACTATCTACTATCTCTTATTTAGTAGCATTTATTCATTTATTTGTATCATACCCATACAAATACATTCTGGTATATTCTGTATATTATTAAATTTAATTACATTTAATGTAAAGTGTTTGTAAACACTTTATATAATGTCTCAGATAGAGGCTATAAGAATAAAAGTACATTTTATATAATAATTTATACAGATATTCATGTCTAATAATATGTTTAAAATGTATTAAATATTAAAGTAAATAAATATTTTAATAAATAACCTGATTTGACCATATAATATTACCCATTAAGTATGACATGTAATTCGTTAAGTAAAGTTCTTAAATAACGAAATACAGTAGATTTAATTATGATCTGAGTTTATAATGTTAAAATATAGATTTTTGTTAAGATAATATATTATTTTATACAAAATAAAATTGAATTGATTTTTACAATATTACAAATATTATGCACATTTATTCGATAGATCTATATTCTAATATAATTATTTATATTATGTAATAAGTAAATAATGTAAAAAATATTTAAATAAAAATTATTGCACATTAAATTAGTATCGATTATGTATAATATGGGTTATAGCCATGGGAACGCACATTGATATATAACATTGACCTTATAAACCTAGATTTTACACTAGTGAAAATAACAAGTATATTAAATAGTTTATCTGGTTAATTTCAAAAATGAAGTTTAAAATTCAAACCATATATAAATATATATGTCGCGCAATATGTTTGATGGGATGTGTATATCAAACGTATAAAATAAGTTTATTGTACTTTTCATACGAAACTACAACTAATATAATTTACGAACGCATGAGTGAAGGATTATTTCCGGGAATTACTATATGTTTCAAAAAAGAGTTTATTACTATTTTAAGTAAATTAAAGTCACTGAACAATTGTAATGACTTCACTAATTACGATAAATTTATCAAACTTGCCATTGACCAACAAATGGCACAACTTGGTGATTTTACTAAATATTTTCAGTGTGAGGTAGCTTTGGATTATAAAACATTGCGGCCATGTAACAATATTTCTAAATATTATGTTTCAATGGATTACCACACACTTTGCGTCACACTATTTAGCCAATGGGAACGCCAGTCAGACAACGGGTACGCCATATATCCCGGGCAAAAGTTACGGACAGAAAATAAATATTTGATGCGAATGACCATCATAAATAAATCGTTAATTGCCGACAATGTTCTAAGTGTGGCCATACATTCGCGTCGGGAGCGGTTATATAAATGGCGTACAAAGCAGCTTGTTGAATTTACGTTAAACGATCATGATGCGAGTATTATTTCGTACACCGAACGCGTGATGAGAGATAAATCATTGGGCTATAGCGAAGGCGAGTGCTTTGTCCGACCCCCTCCTCGACAGTGTATGAGTGAATGCAAAATAAGGCAATTTATTAGGAAATATTCTCAACTTTTACCAGAATTTCTCACTTACAACGTGTCTAACAATACCATGAGTTTTGCAAACGAAAGTCACACAAATGTCAATACTTATAATACTCTGTGCGGACCCGAGTGCGAACGCCCTGCATATTGTCGGGGTTGGTGGTTTACCATAACGTATAATACTATAACGTATAAAACTGAGCGTGGTCTAATCAATGATGAATTTAACCTGTTGTTAAAATTCCCAACTCAACCTACTATTATAATTGAAAAGAATCTTAAAATGCATTTCGATGAGTATCTGTGTCTTAGTGCAAGCGTATTGGGCTTATGGTTTGGATTTAATATGGTCATGCTCATTGATGTGTTTGAATTGATGGCGATCAAGGTGGCACACAAACTTGACTTTAGAAATATTGCGAGTATTTTAAATATTAATAAAAATACTATCAAAAATAAACTGTATATTAACTTTAGATTAAGGAAATAATTTTTCTTATACGGAATTTTAATATTGATCGCTATTTCTATTATGTTATATCTTTTGTTTATTATAAAACTAACAAAAATAATTACTAAATTATTAAATACAACTACTAAAATACAATTATTAGAAACATACTACAAAATATATGTATTGCTTTAAATGTATTGCTTTATATAAAATTTAATTATAATTGTTTTTGATAATTCTTTTATTTTATCATAATGATTTATTGCACTCATTGCTACTTAATGTGCTCATAATGCATTTAATAGTCATAAATAGTATTTTTATATGTAATATTGCGACAGATGGATTTAAAGTGTGCTTGATAATATGCTAGTATAAATACTCTGCTCATTAAGCACACTTATTATAACACTTTTAACAAATAGCCTAATTATTTAATAAAAACATGATTTATTATTTTTACCTATTTGTATTTTGCTCATTGTATGGACTGTCCTCATGTAAGTGATTATTATGTTAATTAAATCAATAAAATACATTAATTAAAAAATATTAATATTTAATAAAATAAACAATTAAAAATTGCAACTAATATCATTAAAGCCATTTATATAAATCATTAAAAAGTATTTTAATTAAACAGGTCTGCATCCATTAATATACTGCAATGACCCTTATTTTAACACGATTTTGAATGTGAACACCGGAGTCAATGCCGCGCCCGTTAACTACACGATCGATGAATATAAGGGCCAAAATCACGTCTATATGGAGGAATTGGCCGCCTTATTGACCGGGGCTGAGGCCGAGTACCCCAAGCATAACATGCAACCCATAGCAGATTTCTTTGTGGCTGTGGGTAAAGTGTTGGACAAGGAGGTGCCCACAGCGTATGCATTTTTTGACAAAGCGACCAACAAAACATTTCAAATGGATGCCTACCGTAAACTGACCAGGGCTCTACAATGCTTGCATAAGCGTGGTTTGGAGAGGGCAGTTGCGTGGGCTGGACACGAGGTTAGGGTGATCGATACCGAGGTGAAAATAGCGCAAAAATTGAAGGGTATGTCCGATGAATTGATCGGGTATCTGGCAATGGCGGCCCAACTCCAGCGCGATAGTGGTCTACCGTTTTGGCCTGATTTTCACGATAGGGTAAATTTTTATCAAATTAATTATATAAAATTCTAAATATAGATGTGATAAATATTTATTGATTTTATTTATTATTCAGATGAAAGCGTTTTTAACTGAACAAGTTGTTTTATTTAACGCCAGTGTTTTAAAACTAACCACACCCGCCATACGAGCTGTTAATTATCAGCAAATGTATAATACATTAGAGATATTGTTTGCTATATAAGCAAACTGTACTAGTTTTATAAACTTATGATTTTGATGGAATTATTAAATAAAAACCTTGATTAAACAGTAAATTATTTAACAATTTTTATTGCATTTTTATTATTGCCTTAAAATTAATAATGACAAGTTTTGTTTAATCCTTTAATGTTTTTGTTTAAAGTGGTTATATAATAACCTATTAATAGCAGCGACCAGGTGATTCACCAAGATGATCTCATTATATACAGACTTATACGCTACGAATTAACCCCAATTTGTAAACACTTCTCAATGGATACATAAAAGCGGCCAGGATCGAAAATCCCAACCACATGCCCCATAAACCGCCTAAATTGGCCATAAAATCAATGAATGTCATTTCGGGCATATTCTCGGTCTCCTGATCGGGCAATTGGTTGTGAACGATGTACACCTCGGAGTACAAGGCGTCCGTCCTATCAAAGGCCCGCTGAGCGAGTGTGTAGTGACGGTTCACGCACTCACTCGCGCACTGGTCTTCGCACCGGGCGTTGTGTTTGTAGTAAAGTCTTTCGTGACATTTCACGAGTCGCTCACTGGCGGTGATGTTGTAAGTAAAGTCATCAGGGTTGATTGGGGGCGAGAATTTTTGTTGTGCGAACTCGCACACCCGGGGCATACCGGCCGCGCCCGGTAGGCTGTCCACACGCCATAAACGCAACGACACGGGTATGCATTGGCGGCAGTCATACGACGTAGTAAGGTTACACTCCCCGCAGTGATCTTGGCGATTTAATTATTTGTAATTAATACTTTAAAATTATGTTTATATTTAAATATCTATATTTAATGACAAGGGTAGCAATGTTTAGCATTTAATCACTAAACACAAATTATCATGCAAAATGTTGTTGCAACATACCCGTCCAGTATCGATAAAAACAGTGATTGAGACAATCGGACCGCAGCTTATAAGCCGAACTCTGGCCGTCGAGATCGTAGTCCTCGCACGCGGTCTCATAAGGTGGCGGTTGTAATACCGTTTTCCACCGCTCGTAAGCCTTATCCACTTCGCGGCCAATGGGAACACCAAAGAAATAGTTAATGTTTAAATACACGGGCAGAACATTAGGCGAATGCATTGCAAAATTGATCATGTACTTCCATTTATGAGTTAGCGGTATCCATCGGTAATCCACCGAAATGCGCATGGTAATCTTTTCTATGCGAACCGTGTAGGGTCTCCACGTTTTATTTAAATGGCTAAAAAATGTGAAACACTTTTCGCACGAGTTAACCTCGTTAAATGATACCATTTCAATAGGAGCTAGATCTGTTAGCTCAACGGGTTCCATGCTGCCATTTAAGTGTTTGCGAACACCTTTTACCTTAATCACTATTGGGTACTGTTTAACACCGAGTAAATCAATAAACGGTTTAAACGGTATACTGATG